TATAACACCCCGCTTCCGTGTCCAGGATAACACCACCCCTCTGTGTCCCCAATAACTCCCCCTTCCGTGTCCCTTATAACACCCCCCCTCTACGTCCCACATAACACCCCACTCCGTGTCCCCATCTGTCTCCTAGGTAACACATCACCATCTGTCTCCTAGGTAACACCCTCACTATCCTTCTCCTAGGTAACACCCTCATCATTTGTCTCCTAGGTAACACCCTCATCATTTGTCTCCTAGGTAACACACTCATCTTCCTTCTAGGTAACTTCCCCCTCATGATATGTTGTCTCAGAGCCACTGATTCCTAAAGAGTTTGAAGTTCTGATTTCACTGGCTGCATGCTTATTCCATTTCCTTCACCCTTACTAATGGTATGTCTGTACCAGCTCTGAGGCCAGACAACTAACACTTCTGTCTAGACAGGTTTCCTGGCAACAAGAAAATTTATTGTCCCCATAGCAACCAGTCAATCCTCCATTCATTTTCACACACACACAAATCGTGGAAAGGAGAGCTCCGAGCTGATTGGTTCCTACGTCACACACAGTAGATGATTACACACGAGGGTTTATTATCGTTTTACACAAATATTATAATTCATAGGACGCGCGAGCCGGCCGGGTCACGTGACTCTCCTCACGGAGACCTCTAGGAAGCCGCCGAGCGCCAGGGGGCGGGGTCAGGCCGAATGTTTTGGCGCCAGAGTGGGACTATCGTTCCCAGCAGGCCGCACGGGACCGGGGTGGTCACGTGACGAGCTCCCTGCCAATCAGCGCAGCGGACCTGCCTAGAAGTCGGCGTTCCTCTCAGCGCGCTCTGTGTGGCCAGGTAATGGCAGTCTGCAGATTCCGGGCTCTTCTAATTGTTGCTGGTGATGGCTGTGTATGGGAGGGGGGAGCTCTGAGGGCGAATGGCACAGCTGACTGTTGCCTATGGCAGCCGACTTTGTATTGCTGGGATGAGCGAGAAGGGTGGTTGCTATGGGCAACACAGACACCTGAGGCGTGTGATGTGCTATTGCTGGGCTCCTTGGGGCCTAATTTCCACCTAGGGTCCCTCTCATGGGGACTTATGGATCCCCCCATTCATCGCTAATAGACCCCCTGTGGTGCAAGTACACATAAAAAAGTAATGTGACACGAAGGCGCTTCCATGGCGACATGTGATGGAAATATGGGTCACGTGTGCGCGTCTCTGGAGGAGGTAAATTTGTGAACTCCATGGCGACGTGGGCCCATTCGCATACATGCAGAGCCCATTGCGGTGCGTCAAAGTCTCATTCACAACGCACAGCAAATGAATGTACCGGTCACATTAAAGTAGAATTCCGCTCTCCCATCTCTTACAGACAAGCAAGGCGCCATCTTGTCCTCCCTTTGCATTGCGGTTGCCATGGTGCTGCGCATGTGATCCGCCACGACACCGGCCATTTGAGGGCTGGAAAGTTTGGTTGAGAGCTGAAGTAACCCAACTTGACAGTTGGCACGCCTCAAAAGTAACTGTTTTGGGATTAATTTTGGTGGGTAAAGTTCAGATTTTGCATTACATATAAACGCACCGTGTCACCATGTGTCTCCACGCCCTCATATGGGGGGACCAGGACGCACAGAGATGGGTTTCTCTGCGTCCTGGCGTTGATGAACGCTGAGGGTGTGAATGAGCGAACGGACCTTAAATCCGCCCTGTGCTGGTTTTTTCTGACTCCCTGCAATGCAAAGAAAGCTCTGTCGGTCCTTACCGTGTGTTGTGCTGCAAAGGTGCATTTATAGTACATTGGGGTGTCATCATAAATAAATGGTACCTTAATGCATGCTTGTTGCGTTGCAGTAACACATAGGGGGGCTTTGCTGAACAGTAAGAGAAAGGTGGGCGGAGTCCTGGGTGTGAGGGGGGAGGAGGAGTCCTGGTTGTAACAGAGGGCTGGACATATCCCAGGGGCCAGGTTGCAAATGCTCCTTAAAAATGACCGTTGGCACCTAACGTTGGAAGGTTTTTTTTTTTCTAGTTGTTGCCGACGGAGCCCCTGCAAAAACTTCTGCTGGCTCCTGGATTCCATATTTGTCCACCCCTGCTGTAAAGGTGATGCATCTGGGGGAGGAGGAGTCCCCGACATGAGGAGGGGGAGGAGTCATGGGAGGGGGAGGAGCCCCGAGCATGAGGAGGGAGGAGTTCCAGGCATGAGGAGGGGGGAGTCCCCGGCATGAGGAGGAGGGAGGAGTCCCGGGCATGAGGAGGGGGGAGGAGTCCCTGGCATGAGGAGGGGGCAGGAGTCCCCGCTATGAGGAGGGGGCAGGAGTCCCCGCTATGAGGAGGGGGCAGGAGTCCCCGCTATGAGGAGGGGGCAGGAGTCCCCGCTATGAGGAGGGGGCAGGAGTCCCCGCTATGAGGAGGGGGCAGGAGTCCCCGCCATGAGGAGGGGGCAGGAGTCCCCGCTATGAGGAGGGGGCAGGAGTCCCTGGCATGAGGAGGGCGGAGTCCCTGGCATGAGGAGGGAGGAGGCCCTGGCATGAGGAGGGGGGGGGCGCGGGCATTAGGGGGCAGGAGTCCCCGCCATGAGGAGGGGGCAGGAGTCCCCGCCATGAGGAGGGGGCAGGAGTCCCCGCCATGAGGAGGGGGCAGGAGTCCCCGCCATGAGGAGGGGGCAGGAGTCCCCGCCATGAGGAGGGGGCAGGAGTCCCCGCCATGAGGAGGGGGCAGGAGTCCCCGCCATGAGGAGGGGGCAGGAGTCCCCGCCATGAGGAGGGGGCAGGAGTCCCCGCCATGAGGAGGGGGCAGGAGTCCCCGCCATGAGGAGGGGGCAGGAGTCCCCGCCATGAGGAGGGGGCAGGAGTCCCCGCCATGAGGAGGGGGCAGGAGTCCCCGCCATGAGGAGGGGGCAGGAGTCCCCGCCATGAGGAGGGGGCAGGAGTCCCCGCCATGAGGAGGGGGCAGGAGTCCCCGCCATGAGGAGGGGGCAGGAGTCCCCGCTATGAGGAGGGGGCAGGAGTCCCTGGCATGAGGAGGGGGGAGGAGTCCCAGGCATGGGGAGGGGGGAGGAGTCTCCGCCATGAGGAGGGGGCAGGAGTCCCCGCCATGAGGAGGGAGGAGGAGTCCCAGGCATGAGGGGGAGGAGTCCCGGGTGTAAGGTGGGCACATTGTACATGCGATACCATTGAACTCTATGTAATGTGCTGCGCCGGTATAAATGGGACCTAATAGAAGAGGCAGAACGAGCGCCGCGTGAGACTCCTGAGAGAGGCGGAAATCACACACCAGGGAGCTATTCTTTTTGTTATCAGCAGCCTTGAGGCCTTGTCAGCAGAGTAGTCAGGCAACCAGCATTTTCAGGAGGAGGTGAGCGATGGCGGCCCTCCTTGTTTCACGCAGGAAAGATTCAGATTCACGGAACGCAGCCACGTGAATCCAACTTAAAAGCTGCACAAGCCATCCTATTGTATGCGGCGATGACCCACCATCAAAAGTCAGCCCCAAATTCTCCTCCTCCTGACCTGTATGGGGATAACACGCGTGTGCATGTCTGCTGTTTGTACCCGTAGTTGGGCCCTCAAACAATATTGCATGTTATGCCTTCAGAGAGGTCAATAAATCATGTGATTGGCTGTCAGTGCAGGGAGTACTGTTGGTGACAGCTCGGTCACAGTGCAGGGAGTACTGTTGGTGACAGCTCGGTCACAGTGCAGGGAGTACTGTTGGTGACAGCTCGGTCACAGTGCAGGGAGTACTGTTGGTGACAGCTCGGTCACAGTGCAGGGAGTACTGTTGGTGACAGCTCGGTCACAGTGCAGGGAGTACTGTTGGTGACAGCTCGGTCACAGTGCAGGGAGTACTGTTGGTGACAGCTGGGTCACAGTGCAGGGAGTACTGTTGGTGACAGTTGGTTCACAGTGCAGGGAGTACTGTTGCTGACAGCTCGGTCACAGTGCAGGGAGTACTGTTGGTGACAGCTCGGTCACAGTGCAGGGAGTACTGTTGGTGACAGCTGGGTCACAGTGCAGGGAGTACTGTTGGTGACAGTTGGTTCACAGTGCAGGGAGTACTGTTGCTGACAGCTCGGTCACAGTGCAGGGAGTACTGTTGGTGACAGCTCGGTCACAGTGCAGGGAGTACTGTTGGTGACAGCTCGGTCACAGTGCAGGGAGTACTGTTGGTGACAGCTCGGTCACAGTGCAGGGAGTACTGTTGGTGACAGCTCGGTCACAGTGCAGGGAGTACTGTTGGTGACAGCTCGGTCACAGTGCAGGGAGTACTGTTGGTGACAGCTCGGTCACAGTGCAGGGAGTACTGTTGGTGACAGCTCGGTCACAGTGCAGGGAGTACTGTTGGTGACAGCTCGGTCACAGTGCAGGGAGTACTGTTGGTGACAGCTCGGTCACAGTGCAGGGAGTACTGTTGGTGACAGCTCGGTCAC